TGACCACATTAGGCAGGAGAGCACAGAGTGGTCAGTTCTCTAGCTGTGCTGGGATCTCAGTCCACTCTCCTCCAGTTATCATGCTTGTTCTTACTCCCCCTCGTCACCCCCTCCCCCACCCCGCACAGCCAAGGGAGGTTCAGTGTGTACTGCTGTTTCTCCTCCACCAGCTCTCTGTTCTGCTGGTGCATAAGGAGCTTAGGGGGTACATAATTATACGGATACACGGATACTGATTCCCTCTAGGAGTTCAGGTTATACAAGGCACTAACTATGTAGCTGAAAAAGAGGGACAGAGGTGGCGTAAACACCTAGCGCATTATCCAAGGTTTATTTAAAAATGTAAAAAGGTCAGCTATGAGGAAAGGGAAACGTGTCAGTAGGCCGATCGCTCCACTAGTCGGACACTCTGCCATCACTATGGGCCATCCCTGTGGCTTTTAGGCGTTTTCATATACTTAATTTTGTGAGTGTTTTTTGTCTTTTTACATTTTTAAATAAACCTTAGCTAATGTGCTAGGTTCTTTCTGGTTTTGGTGATTTCCCAGTCTGAGGAGCGCTACATCACCAAGATTTTATCTTAAGGCTATCAACGCATTGGATTCCCTGGCTTCTTCCTGCCATTTACCCCTTTTGAGGCACTGGGGAGTTAGTAATTTCAGACTAAATATGTAGCTATATGCCCAACTCATAGGTTACCGTGAGGTCACTCATAAAATAGGGGGATAAAAGGTATTTATAATGTTTTTTTTTTATATGGTTTTGCATTTAATTTCTAGTTTAAACTAAATGGGTTGTTTTAAAAGATGGGGGTTTAAATATACTTTAACTAGCAATCCAGGTCTACAGCAGGCCAACAAACCCCTTGCACCATGCTCCAATGAACAGCGTAAGCTCTGTTGACTTGAACACTGTGCAGGGGCTTGTTGGACAGCTGGAGGCAGGGGTCACTGTGCTTTGTGTTCTGGATCTGAGCAGTGGTCCTGATCTCCAGCGTGCTTCCAACAGAGATCATTTCAACCCTTTGCCGCAGCATGGTAGCACAGTAAAAATCTAAAAAGACGTTTATTACTGTTTTTGCAACCTGACTACATTACAGTAATACAAAAATGAAGCTTCAGTTGGGTTTTATAATATAGCTAAATATTTTTCTCCATACTCTGTACAGAAATATATCACCAAATGCAGCTTTCATGTTTACGTAGTCTCTTGTCATTTAATTAAAAACAAGTGTTAATGTCACAATATACTTATTTTGGGCATTCTTTACAGTTGGATAAAGTTTGTCCTTTATGTTTCTCTAGTAGTTTCTCCCCATCCTTTTCCATCTGCTTGGGGAATAGCTCATGAGCCAGAGAAGGAGCTCAGAACGAAAATGCATTAGGTTGCACGGTCATCCCTCTCACACCTTTCATTTCCACTAAATTCATTACTAACATTTAAATAGAAAAAAAGTCCAATAAAAATGTAACCAACTCTAGAGGAAGAATAAATAGACTATTACTTGGAGAGAGTGCATGAGGGAATTCTTTCACTTCGCAGCCTCTGCCTCTCATGAGTCACTGGTGTTTTACACTCTATGCATACATCACAATGTGAGTATCATCTCTGTGCCGAGATATATGGTCTGTGCACAAGGAAATATGAAGGCACTTTTTATTTCTCTATCATTCGCTGTCTCGCTTTCCCTTCTCAGCGGAGCAATCAAAGCAGTCTGGTTGCTTCAATTGAAAGAGAGGCATGGAAATAACTGTAAGAAAAAATGTCTTTGTACACTACCACACTGAAAAGGAATACAAATCGTTTGGGTGTAGAATACTGAAGAGGCTCACGGCTGCATTTCTCCTTTGTATTAGACACATTTGAACAGAGAATATCAGATTTAAGGAACAGATTTGGCCCACTTATTTATTTTGGTATTATTTTAAAATGAACCTTTGAAATCAACAGCTAAAAAAACCTTACACTTTTAGCTATGCAATGAGGGTTAATAATTAGGACCTCTTCATTGCTAGAAACCCTCACAAACTATGGGGTCTAGTTGTAAATGTTTTCACTTGGACAACTTTCACCCAGGATTCACACATTTTCCAGTTAGAAAATGTGAATCTTGGGTGAAAACATTTATATATAAACCCACTTGTGCCTCTACCCATCCTTTAAATGTCTTATCAGTATAGTCCATTGAACAGCAAATGGGCTTTGATTTCCTGCGTTACATCTGCTCATCTGTGTGACACGCTAAAGACCAGAGGGACTATACACATTATTTAGAAGTGCATCTTACATAGCATATAGATATCAGAAGAAATGAGAATTGTTATAGGTATTGCGCTTTTCTGTAGTAATATGATATGATTTGTTGTTCTTTAAAGGGCCATTAAAGAAAAAAAATTTCTTTTACATAATAGGATTTTTTTTCACAATATTCTTTTAACTTTCTTTTAACATTTTAGGAGATTTGAATAAATCTGAGATAATGTAGAGCGATTTTCCATTTCCTACTTTATTTCCTCTGTATTTCTGATATGTCAATGAGTTCTCCCACATTGAAGTGTTATTTTTGGTACTATGAGCAAGGCCAGAGGTGTGCACACTGTGCAGCTTAACAAGGGTCCTTTAGAATCTACATTTGGTAATTGGCTATATAGCCTCAAAGTGTCTGATTGGTTCCAGGCTATGTTTACATATTACACAGGGAACTGCAGGACTGTGGATGTTTCAATCATTTTTTTTATTGTTTCTTACAGCTATAGCAATAGTTTTCGCCAGTGACAGAAGAAATGCAGCGGCCAGCAGTTGAGAACCACTGCTTTAGTGGATCACCAACAAAAACTAGAAAATGATTTTACATATAAAACCTTTTTGTGAATTACAAAAATAAATAAAATAAATTAATTAATTTTAAACATATAATATACAATAAAGTCCAACTGATCAAAAAGGTGTCCAAAAAGAAAGTCCAAAATGGTGTCCACAAATATCCCAAAATGTTTTCACTCTTTTCATCCAATGAAAGGATTGGCTCCTATTTCATCCAAAACACACCTCGAAGTAAAAAAAATATAATAATATCTAGTGCATTACCTTAATAATAATAATAACAATAATAATAATTATTATTATTAAGGTAATGCACTAGATATTATTATATTTTTTTACTTCGAGGTGCGTTTTGGATGAAATAGGAGCCAATCCTTTCATTGGATGAAAAGAGTGAAAAAATTTTGGGATATTTGTGGACACCATTTTGGACTTTCTTTTTGGACACCTTTTTGATCAGTTGGACTTTATTGTATATTATATGTTTAAAATGTATTTATTTCATTTATTTTCACAAAAAAAGGTTTTATATGTATTATTGCACTCTAGGGAGAAAGTATTGACTTTTTGAGGGTTTAAAAAGGAGAAGGGTATACATTGATAGAAAATGATTTTGTTTGCCTTTCTATAGAGCCATGGATTGTATTTTGCCATACTGCTGGCCCAGATGCAGAAAGGACAGGCTGCATTTAATCTGAATAACACATAAACCCTCCTGCACATGAGTGTGGTGGTCTGAATCCAACGCTTATAGCACATCTGATATACAATGGGAGATATAAACACACCGTGCCTTGCTGCCTTCTCTAGACTGAGGGTGCCCCAATCAACTGAAAAAACACAGAAGGCACACCAGCCTAGTGCATTATTTCTAAAACCATTTATTTCATACAAACTTAAATAAATCTACTCACAGACGTCCAGACTAGCAAAGCATCAGCTTGTCCACTCTTCTTGCTCCAGAGGCTTGGGAGGATCCCAATGGCTTACACGTTTTGTGCACTTGTCCTCCGAGCCAAACCTATTAGGATCTTTCTTACTTATCTCTATATAAAAAATGAAAAAATGGCACCCCCCTCAAGTGGACCCACCCCGGCGCCAGTGGAGTGGACCCACCCCAGTAGGGGAGAAGCCATTTTTATATAAAAGCAATCAAGAAAAATCCAATTAGGTTTGGCTCTGAGGAAGAGGGTACGGCCCTCAAAGCTTGTAAGCCATTAGGATCTTGATGCCCTCCCAAGGCTCTGGAGCAAGCGGACTGGACAAGCTGACTGTAACAGTTTGATATGATTTGCTAGTCTGGATATCTGAAAGTGGATTTATTTACGTTTTTATTAAATAAATGGTTTTAGAGATAATGCACTAGGCTGGTGTGCCCTCTCTCTCTTGTGTTTTTTGCATATAATCTGAACCTGAAGCAAGTTTTAGCTTAGGTAAAGTGTATGTAGACCCTAACAATGAACTTCTCTTACTTGCTCCCCTTTAGGTAAGTTCCAGTCTATAGTGTTATCTCAAACAGTGTTATCACTCCTTCACAGTTCTCTTCTGTAAGCGCCCCCCCCCCCCCCCAATGTTATTGGGATACAGAGGTGTTCTACAGTCTTTTTCTGAGGTGACAATGCTGCCCCTTTGTAGATAGAGTACAGTGAATAAGCCTAGAAAGTATGTTACTCGATCTGGGAGTGGAGACGTGCTACCAGCAGAATCTCCAGGTAAAAATAAAGGAAAACAAGCCTGAAAAATAGAAAACTAATGCAACCTTCACATCTAAGGACTGGTAAATGTTTGTCTTTTTAGATACATTTTAACATTGGCTGGCTTGTGTGGCTCACTGCATGCTAACAACTACAGTGTCTTCTTGTAGCTACCCCTTCTGTTCCTGATTTTCCATTACAATGTCTCCTTGCAGGACTAGAGCTGACTGATTTACAGGTGTGGCCATAATATTAACCTTTTGCAATCTACTGAAAGTGATTTTATATTTAGCCCACACAACCCTTTTAAGGTAACGCAGATGGGTCTGCTTAGCAGGCACTATAAAACATTTAGAATGAAGGCTATGAAACTGTAGTAGCATCAAAAGCACTGCATTCTTCTTCAATATACTGTTTATATAAGAAACAACTAATCCATATATATATATATTTTTTTTTTTTTTTTCTTTTTTACAAACATAGGCTGGGAGGCATACCTGTAGGAGTGGTTGCAGTTGAAACAAGATCTGTGGAGCTAAGCATACCTGCTGACCCTGCTAACCTCGACTCTGAGGCTAAGGTTGGTTAATGGTTTTTGATCACAAGCATTTTATCTGGGGCTGGATTTTATTTTGTGCTGTATTTATTTCCAGTTATGATAAAGATAACATTTTCATGTAGTTAGTTGCACAGCTCAGTTATTGATTTCTTTTTTATATTGATGACCTTTATGCCTATATTTAAAGACACAACATTTTAAGGTTTGAATATGGAAGGGTTTAAATTTGGACAGAAAAGATAGAAAATCCAACATTTTACAATTGTCACATAAAGAGGAATGGAGTGGAGTCTTCCAGTGGGGACATCTATTCTGGTGACAACTGTAAAATTTCCCTCTCACTTTCTGTTGCATCTCTGGGAAAGGAAGTGAAGAAAAATCTTCACAATGTAACACAAACAAAAAATAAAACATAATTAAGACTTTAGCCATTCTCTACTCCATCCAAAATTATGAATACAATTTTATTAATTGATCAGCCCCTTACCTCCATTCACACATTTTAATTGGAAAATAAAGCAGCCCACCATAGTGATCGATAAGTAGGAATGTTTGAGGGCAGTGCTTTGTAGCAAGTGCCAAAACTACCTGACATTCGAAAGTTGCTGGTAAGAAAATGCCTGATGCACTGATACTCACCTTTGTACTGTGCTCTCCCACCGATCCATTAATCCTTTGGAGCTTTTGGTAAATACCTAGAGCTTACAGGTGTGGGGTAGTCCCAAGATACAGTGCTTGGGCTTCAGGGATCAATCACAAGGCCCAAACACTGTCACCTGAAAAGGACAGAAAGTGTGTTACTGGCAAAATCACAGGTTGAAAACAAAGGAAAAAGTCTAAAAAAAAAAAAAAAAAGAAAACAAAAGCAGCCACCACATCTGGGGACTGCTAAGTTGTAATATATTAAATGTCTGATTTTGAGTGTAGATACATAACAACCTTGGATTAGGAGTCGCACTGGAAGAGTAGTTATATATTAAAGTTATATTTAAAACCACCATCTTCCTTTTTCACAGTTTTCAATATTGAAATAAGCAGAGCCACATGTGTAAGTAAAAGCTGTGAAAATGTGGAAAAGACTCCCTCAAGAGCTAGTTCTGGCCAGCTCAGTACATTGCTTTAAAAAAAGAGCTGGATGCATTCCTAAATGTGCAAATCATAACAGGTTATTACCATTTATAGGTAATAACACCAGAGATTGTTGGTCCAGGGAATATCCAATTACATCCTGGGGAATCGGGAAGGAATTTATTTTTCCCATGCTGGAGCAAATTGGACCATGCTTTATATAGGTTTGCCTTCTTCTAGATCGACTGTGGGTATAGGAAACTGTATATGTGTTTTTTCGATTATTATATTATCTACTTAGGGACAGATTTACTGCAGCAAGGCAGCCCGCTGTGCCGGATCATGTACATGTACATGATCCAGCATTTCCAAGCCAGGTCCTGGCCAATAACTTATGGCCTGGGACCTGCTGATCTGCTCAGCGAATGACTGAAGAGAGTGTTTACCAACACAGGGCTATCTAGACTGCAGTGATGTGGCTGTCTTTTTCTCCCTGCAAAGCAGGGAGATAAAACAGTCACATTGCTTAGTGAAAGCAGCAGAACACGTTACACACTTTACACTTGTTAGGCACACAATTAACCCTTTGATTGCCTCTAGATGTTAAAGCGGAGCTCCACCCAAAAGGGGAAGTTCCACTTTAATGCTTTGTCCCCCGCTCCCCATTAAGGCTTGGCACCTTTGGGGAGCGGGTACCCGAATTTGACAGGTACCTGCTCCCACTTCCGCTGCGATCGCCTAAGGCAAGCGGAAGTTGTTTTCCCTCCCCGTAGTCTTCTAGGACACGTGACAGGTCCCAGAAGACTACTGGGCCATTCACAAAGCACAGCGCTTTTCTTCTGCCCACACTGAAGATGCCGGGGAGAGAAGATGGCCAGTGAAACCAGCGGTGGTGAGGACACCGCTGGACCAAGGGACAGGTAAGGGTCTGTATTTTAAAATTCAGCAGCTACAGTTTTTGTAGCTGCTGACTTTTATTTTTTTTTTTTTCAACTGGAACTCCACTTTAACCCCTTCCCGGCTAGTGACATTAGTACAGTGACAGTGTATATTATTAGCACTGATCACTGTATTCATGTCACTGGTGACGTCAGTGTCAGCCAGTTCCCACAAAGTGTCAATTAGTGTCAGATTGCCCACCGCACTATCACAGCCCCACTATAAGTTGTTGATCACTGTCATTACTAGTATAAGAATAAATAATTCCAAAACAATATATACCTATTGGGAATTTTTTTTTTATCAAGCACATATAGCAGAATATATTGTGGCCTAAATTTATGAAGAAATTAGATTTTTTTAAAAAAATTTTATTGGATATGTCTTATAGCAGAAAGTAAAACAAATTGTGCTTTTTTCGAACTGTTCAGTCTTTTTTGAATTTTCTATATATAAAAAAAAATAAAAATCCAGTGGTGATCACTGGATTTTTAAAGAAAACTTTTTTTGTGAAAAGAATTACATAAATTTCATTTGGGTATAGCGTTGCATGACTGTGCAATTACCTGTAAAGTAGCACAGTGTTGAATAGCTAAAAATGGCCTAGTCATGAAGGGGTAAGTAAGTGGTTATTCAGTTTTCGTTATATATTTACTATTTTGTATTGGCTGAACTACCTAATGTAACTATGTAAGTGATTCTCTGTGGTGCTTAGTCCAGTGTAATGACCAGAGCGAGTTGTATAACATATGTTTCGGCCTTAAATAAATCATGTTGCTATAGATCATCTTCAATTGAGTGAGGGTGCCAGTTGCACTGGCAGTCTGAATGCAATTTGTTGTTCCCTCTGATGGCTGCAGTTCTGCATATGATGTATTAACATAAATAATATTCAATAGTAGGCACCTATAAACACAAAAATCATTAACAAAGTATTTTACAAAATATGAACGTATGCTTTTGTCAATGAGACAAAATTAGATGATACAATGTATAAGAGCCACTGGTGATAGTGTCATTTTTAATTTATAATTTGTAATAGTACATTGGTGATTTCCATTTTTTTATCAGCTTCTTTATATTATTTGCAGTGCTATCTGTATGCAATAAATATTCTATGGAAACTCAGTGGCCATTTTAAGGAAGATGTTCGTGAACAGGGCTTAGCCTGCATAGGGGAGCCAGCCACCAAAGAAAATGTTAAATCATGACTTTCCTGTGCACGTTCACTTCTTAGAGCTTAAAAGTCTAGAAAATGAATACAATTGGCTTTTTATACGGAATGACAGTATCCATGGGTATAGTTTATATTGCTGTATGAAATCATGGCTTGTTTAAAGGGTATTTTAAGAAAAAACAAATTTGCTTATTTTCTTGTTACCTCTTTGTATAGTCGCATGGAATGGCATGCTCCTCCCTTATCCACTTTGTACACAAGAACAGAGCCTGTAACTCAAGCATATAACACCTTTTTATTCCAACAAAAAACTGTAGGATGGCTTTGGTCATCAAATGGCCAACAAGGCAGAAAAACAAGACAACCGAAAATTCTTGTTACATCGTAATAATAAATGTTCATAATGCCATATGATAATTATTTATGATGCCTGCTCACATAATCTGATCACTAATGTAAGCAGAAGATCCATTTTACATTAGCCTAAAAAAAGCCCACAGTCTGAATTAAACAGTGATCGAAAATAATTTAGTTCCATCAATTTTATAAACCTTTCAGTTTAGATATAAAAATTAAAAAGTAGTGAAAAATTCATCCAACCAGAAAGAAGTTCTGTGAACATTCAAAGTAATAATTTGAATACTTGAGCCTTCACAGAAGACTACTGTGGTAAATAGGATCCTGTATAATTATTTTTACACAGAAGGTTAATGGTGTTTCTGATTTAGAATCATTCTCTTTTACTTGCCTATTTCTTTTCTGGTGTTTTTTTTTCCCCTGTGCTTAGTCTTTTGTGAATAACTGCCTTACTGCTTTCCACAGATAATACAACAGGCTGGACAGGTGTGGTTTCCAGATTCTGCCTTTAAAACCGCGCAGGCAGTCAAAGATTTCAACAGGGAAGGACTCCCACTTATGGTGTTTGCAAATTGGAGGGGTTTTTTCTGGTGGAATGAAGGGTAATTATTTTTAAAAACTTTCCGCATGATATTTTTGCTTTTTTTTTTTACTTTCAATACATTTTTATTGAGCCCTGGTTCACACTAATGCGGTGTGGAATTCGCACTGGTTTCTGTGCAATTTCCGCACCGCATCATAATCGCACGTTCATGCGAAGCGCTGCGTGTGTATTTTAAGGTAACAACACCCCAAAATCGGTTCACAAAACACAATGCGATGTGCATAATCGGAGTGCATGGATGTGAACACAAAAAACAAAAACAAAAAAAGGTCCTGCACTATTTTGGTGCGGATGCAGTGCGATTTGAGCCATACAAAATGTATAGCTCCAATTGTACCGCACAGAAATCGCATGTGATTTGCACTGGAATGCAGTGTGGTTCCTGTATGAATCACTAGCAATGTGCTGCACCACATCAGTGTGAACCAGGGCTGAAATATTCATAGCTTGTCATAACAAGAAGCAACATAAATATGGACAATACATAACATTTCTTTTTTAACTGCATACCAAATGGACCAAGGCATGCAGATGGCCTCAAAATGGTCAGAGGTTAAAGCTGAGCTTCAGGTAGAAATAGAAGGCTGAAATGAATGCAGCTCTGTAATCATGGATACATAATTTAGTGTAGTTTTTTTAATACAAGCACCTGAATTTGATTGGTATCAACCTCTTACAGTCCACTGTGCAGTCTGTAGAGCAGAGCTCAGAGAGGGAGAAACCACACAAGAGGCCAATCAGAAGTGTTCTGCATTGCAAGGAGCCATGCATAGAGGCAAAGTGATAGAGACATGTATGTGTACAATCCAAACGCACACGTTCCTGCATTAAAAATGGCTGTGTGTATAAGTGGGTGCTGCTGCAGTAACCGAACCGAACCTGCAAGGGAGAATGTCACCAGCACAACGAGGATCACCAATATGGGTCCAAACGTTTTAATGAACGATCACATAGTTACAGCAAGGCAATGTTTCAGAGTCTCGCAGGACCCCTTCATCAGGATGTGACCATGCCTAATGAAGGGGTCTTGCGAGACTCCGAAATGTTACCTTGCTATAACTATGTGATCATTCATTAAAACTTTTGGACCCATATTGGTGCTTTCTTGGTGTGCTGATAAAGACATGAGCACATCTGTGTTCTACTTCTCCTTGACGCCTGTCCTCCTGGCAACATCATTTTGGCAGAAAAATTCTTGATGCTTGTAAACGCAAGTAATATTTATTCTGGCCATTGGAATGAATTCACGCTCAAGCACTTGACACACCTAGTGTTAACACGCGTTTACACACGTTAAGTGTTTTTCTGCTAAAACGCTGCTGCTCCTATATACGCCAGCAGTGGGTCAGCCTATCTAGGAGCAGCAGCCTCTAAACCCCTCTAAATGATTATGTGTGCATAGACACATGGAGGGGTGCACAGAGGCAGAAATCTCTAGATGTGAGAGAGAAATACAAATCCTTTGGCAGGTAAAACAGCTGTTATATACAGTTGTGTTCAAAATAATAGCAGTCAGACATCACTAACCTGATCAATCACTGTTTTTGGTAGAAATGATATTTCTACATGGCAAATAATTTACTAGCAGGTGTAGTAGAGTAATAGAAATCCAACACACCCAACAGTCATGACATCCATGCTGCTGATTCTGTGTAATTGAATCACTAATTGAAAGGGGCATGTTCAAAATAATAGCAGTGTGGAGTTCTATTAGTGAGGTCATTCATTCTTTGAAAAACAGGTGGCAATTATTGCCCTTATTTAAGGAAGGAAGGCAGCAAATGTTATACATGCTGGTTACAGTGCATTTCTCTCTGAAATTCTGAGGAAAATGGGAAAAAACTACCATTGGAATGGATAGAAGAATAGGCAAAATGGCAAGGACTCAGCCAACAATCAGCTCCAGGAAGATCAAAGAAGGTCTAAAGTTACCTGTGAGTACTGTTACAATTAGAAGACGCCTATGTGAAGCCAAGCTATCTGCAAGAAGCCCCCGTAAAGTCCCACAGTTGAAAAAAAGACGTGCTGAAGAGGTTACAATTTTCCAAAGAGCACATTGACTGGCCTAAAGAGAAATGGCGCAACATTTTGTGGACTGATGAAAGTAAGATTGTTCTTTTTGGGTCTAGTGGCCAGAGACAGTTTGTCAGACAACCCCCAAACACTGAATTCAAGCCACAGTACACTGTGAAGACACTGAAGCATGGTTGTGCAAGCATCATGATATGGGGATGTTTCTCATACTACGGTGTTGGGCCTATTTATCGCATACCAGGGACCATGGATCAGTTTGAATACATCAGAATATAAGAGGTCATGCTGCCTTATGCTGAGGAGGAAATGCCCTTGAAATGGGTGTTCCAACAAGACAACGACCCCAAACACACCAGTAAACATGCAACATCTTGGTTCCAGACCAACAAGATTGATGTTATGGAGTGGCCAGCCCAATCCCCGGATCTTAATCCAATAGAAAACTTGTGGGGGGACATCAAAAATGCAGTTTCTGAGGCAAAACCAAGAAATAGAGAAGAACTGTGGAATATAGTCCAATCATCCTGGGCTGGAATACCTGTTCACAGGTGCCAGAAGTTGGTTGACTCCATGCAACACAGATGTACAGCAGTTCTCAGAAACAGTGCTTATACAACTAAATATTCATTAAGTGATTCAAAGGAAAGCAAAATAGTCAAACATTTTTCAGTTTATATAGAGAATGTTTGAGTTTGTAAAGAAGAATACAAACACTGCTATTTTTTTGAACAGTCTAATATTCACTTTTCTTCAATTTTTTTAGAGGAACAACACAAATTTAATATATTTTTCTTCGTTTTGATTTGGAATAGAATGTGTAGTGTTCCCAATGCATTTGTGTGTATGGAAATAAAAGCTATTAGAAGGATTTTGAGCTTTATTCACTTTTTTCAACACACTGCTATTATTTTGAACACAAGTGTGTGTGTGTGTGTGTGTGTGTGTGTGTGTGTGTGTGTGTGTGTGTGTGTGTGTGTGTGTGTGTGTGTGTGTGTGTGTGTGTGTGTGTGTGTGTGTGTGTGTGTGTGTGTGTGTGTGTGTGTGTGTGTGTGTGTGTGTGTGTGTATTCTGTGTATTAAGTTGTTTGCATACAGTTTATCCTTAAAGTAGAATTAAAGGCAATTTTTTTCTAGTTTAGGATAGAGTGGTGAGTAAATGGAGGCGAGTAGAAGAGTTTGGGAAGTGCAGTAAATGTAGGCTATAAAATTCCCCTTGCTTTTGTATTGAACTTTGTTATGCAGCGATTATGTGTCACAAATTGTTAGGTCAAAGGATATTCATAAATAGCATCAGTCTGCATGAAAGATACATGGTTTATTAAGTTGCTTTGTAGGATGACTCAAAAAATGTTGCCAAGGGATGGAAATAATTCTCATAGAAGAGAATACAAGCGTATAAGCATGCTAATAGTAATGGCAAAACACCTCTGTCTCATTTGTTATTCCTAGAGTGTTACTAAAGTCATTTTTTTTAAATTAAAATAAACCATTATACTCACCTGCTCTGTGTAATATTTTTGCACAGAGCAGCCCTGATCCTCCTCTTCTTGGGTCCCCTGTCTACGATCTTGTCTCCTCCTCTTCTTTGTGTGTCCCCATAGCAAGTTGTTTGCTATGGGGGCACACAATGTCCGCTCACTCCTGAGCTGTGTGTCTATGGAGCCTCGCTCCATAGACTCACACACAGTGGGACTTAGTCCTGCCTGTTCCTGCATCCTCACTGCATTTGATGGGTTGCTGTAAGTCAGGGGCATAGCTACAGAGGTTGCAGGGGTCGCAATTGTGACCCAGACCCATGCTACGGGGGCCCCTGTGGCTCCCCTGTATGCCTAGAAAGGAGGAGCCTTGGGAGCAGCTGCATACAGAGTAATTGATCACTCCATTTTTCTCCTACAACCACTGAATGCCTGAGTGAGGGAAGGAGGAGGAGAAGCAGGCATTCAGCGGCTGCAGGATCGGGGCTCCTAAAAATAAAATGTAAAAAAACAAAAATAAAACTACTAATGACACCAGTGGCAGAACTATCAGGGTCACAAAGGTCGTACTTGCAACCGGGCCCTGGCATTCTGCCATCGAGCTCTGAGGGAAGGGCCCCGGCAGGGGGTTAGAAGGGCCCTTCATGGTTTCTTGCACCAGGGCTCTGAAGGTTCTAGTTACACCACTGGTTTAAGTATTTCTGTACCTGCTGATCACCTTGGATTTTGACACACAAAAGAAGAATGTTTACGCAGAATGGTGCAAAAAAAAAAGGAAAAGAATGCTGTGAGTGTTCTGCTGACTAAATGTCTTATTGATACGAAAGGTCAAAGAATTATTGGTGTAAAAGAAAATTCTATAGTGACTCAGATAATCACTCTTTACAATCTTGGTGAATAGATAAGTGTCTCAGAATGCACATTGTGTTAAAATTGGAGATAAATGGGTTACACAGCAGGAGAAGACCAGGTTATGCTCCACTCCTATCAGCTAAGAACAGAAAGCCAAGGTTGCAGTTGGTGCTGGCTTATCAAAACAGGGCAATTTAAGACTTGAACAATCTAGCTTAGTCTGGAGAATCTTTTTCTGCTGAGGTAGAAATGTATAACCCTTTTACAAGACAACTTTATGGTAGAGATTATAGAAGCCTCAACTAGAATGATGCTCTGCTGGACCTGGTATTCTTAAACTACGTAACACCTAATACAAAAGAACATCTGGGCAGCGATGACTATACTATGTATTCATTTCATTTAAGTTGTAACAACAAACACATGATGGACAGATAAAACCATTTCAGAGAGAGTGCCAGATAGCAGTTCAGCAGTTCAGTTCCTCCAGAGGCTGGAGGAGCTTCGCTATGAGGCAAGATTAGCTGAACTGAATTTTCTTGTCCCTTGATAAAGATGGGGGGGGTTGTCAAAAGTTACTATATCCTTTACTAAATGATGTCAGTGCTTTATAAATTGCATGTAGTATCAGCTACATA